TAAATGCATCACTTCACTGCCCAGCAACCCTCCCAACACCCTCAAAATTAAACTTTGCAGGAGCGAGTGCGACGTGCCCGAACTTATGCACAACTTCGACTTCTCCCCCTTTCCTCCAATTTTCTAACAAAGCAAATATCTACGATCATTTAGGAGTGCCACAGAAATGTATTCAGAAATATAATCTGGAATGTAAAATGATCGATTGCCTGTTTTTCCTGTATTTTCAACAAGAACTGATGCGGTTTTGTGCGCACAAAACATGCCTTCGAGCTGTTGCTGTACAGCAAATGCGTCATATATTGTGCCTGCAAAATCGGTGCCCTGCAAATCTGAAAAGCTTGGAGTATGCGATCGCAGGATAAGCCGCTCGCCCTACACTATCGTTGACTTATTACACATCCCAGGAGCACAGCTTTCCGAATAATTCACTTGATGAATACGATGCTTAATATCCATGTAACATCACAAAAAACGCTAGAACTCAAGGGGGAGAGGGCACCTTAATTGTTCACTGCTCAGTTAGCGCATATCATAAATTACAGCTTCAGGCATGTTCGAAAGGCACGGCGCACTGCCGGAACGCTGAGCGGTGTGCGCTGCTGACCACAACTAGGTGACCGATCTCGGGAAATCACACTCGAAACAAATCGCCTCCCTGCGCACTCAGCACCACCAATATGTGAAGGCATTAAGCTTCGAGTTCACGCGAATGATGCGATGCAAATTTCCGCTTTTCTTTTTTAAATTATCCCGCAAATCAATTCCTCCAGTGTCAACAGGATAAGGAATCCAATGTGGGCTATGCTTTTTGCTCTCGGGAAGTAGCAGTTTCGCACGGCCAATTCCTCACACCGTGAGTCCATAATTTCCGTTCCGGAGATTGGAATAAGGAGTCTGTGTGAAGGGCAATTCCTTTTCTTATGGACAATCCATAAATCCAGAATGGCTCAGGTGCAATTCCGAATAATCCAACGGGCTAAGAAGAAATGATTATTCCTGATGCCTCTGAACGTGCTTCCACACTGCAATAAAACAACATTTTATGAATGGAGCAGCCACGATGAAAAAACAACAAAAACGCACACACACACACCTCGTTTACAGTTCGAATGCATGAAGTAGTTGAATTCAGCTCGAGAGAGAGAGAGAGAAGCGTGCTCGAAAAATGTATATTCATTATTACAAATAAATGATGCTCAACGTGATGCCTCTATCCCCATCCGGCAATGCGTGGACGTTAAAACAGCAGTCTTTTGTTGGAAGTAAAAAAGCTCGGCTTAAGTCGCTTTTTGGGAGGACGAGACACGGGGAGGGAGGGATTATTACCCTCCCAGCAACTGACGCTGCTATGAAGTACTCCCACAAACCAAAGACAGACATCAGCTGGTGTGTAAGTACAGCTGCTGTCATTTTCAGAAGTTGTATTTCATAAAGCGCACAAAACTTAGGGTAGTAGGCGCGAGGGAGAGGGGATAATACCTCACGGGGTCGGTGTTAAAAAGCCCATCAAAGGAACTATTGCAGCATCAGCAGCAGCATCTGGAGCAGGAGCCGGGATGATACGATCTGACTGATAAAACAGTGCGCAAAATTCAGGCGACGCTGCTGCAGCAGCAGCACATAAGGCATGCACATACTTGCTGTCTGTTCCATCCGACGGGGTGAGTGTGAGATAATAATAATAATAATAATAATCGGCGAGCGCATTACTCAGATTAACAGCATATAAGAATATGATGTAGTATAACGGCGAACTGGAACGATGATAATGATGATGATGATGACGATGATAGCCACAGGTGTATGGTGGTGTGCAAAATTGGCGGCAAACGGCTTTAAGGCGTCGGTGAACGGCTTCCACTGTTATTCGGCGGACTGTATTGCGGCGAACCTCTGGTAGCACGACCGACCGGTGATCGAGAACGCATGCGTCCACGTAATCCACCATCATCTTCGCACACACGAATGTACGCTGTCTCACCCTGAAAAAAATAAATTGCCAGCGCACTGACTGCCGTTGCGAAGATGCGTTTTTTGCATAGTTCCCCGCAGGCTTTTGTCGCTAACGGCACCGGTTTTTCCTGCAGATGCTTCTAGGTAAACAACTTGAGACTTGTCGCCAGGACTGTCAGGAGACATCTTCTTAAGATTACAGTCTTTTAGATTCTCAGACCATCGAGTTAGCAGCTTGCCGTAGAAAACTTTCACAGACCCGTACGTGGGTACTACATAAGTAAGAATGCCTATTTTGGGGATAGGGAGCCGTACATGCATGTAGACTAAGTCCCCCAATGTTTCAGCCCTGTAGCTTTGGTAGGCCTCGATATGAAAAATTGGTACAGACAAACACACGCAGACAACTCCTCGTCAGTATGCGATTTCTGCATTGCATAACTGCAAAAACGAAAAAAAAAACACCGCTATCTTGTTACTTCAACACTGTCCACCACCAATTATGGTCATCACTTATGGGCCAGACAGGACCAACAAACCCCAAATGGAAGAACAACAATAAATGGAAACCTCATGTGATTTGAATTTTGTGTCATCCAATTTGCGCAACGCATATTTCATGTCTTCATAGCGAGCATATTCCACAATACCAGTGCCATCACGCAATACATCGGTATAGCAAACATCACCAGCCTCACGCATATGGTCCTTCAGATCTTGCCACGAACCTTAACAATCCAATTCAGTTTTTATGCGTTTTTTGCAGCAATGCAATGCGAAAAACGCATATTGACGAGAGGTTGTC